TATTTCATTGGTAATAGCGTTGATTTTAATAATTGACACTGATGCTTCAGTATCGATTAGAAAAATAGATTTTTGGTTTGATACACTTGTTTGAATTTTAATGTAGTTTGACAGATTGTTGTTAATCTGCAAAATTTTGTGTGTTTTTATTGCGTTTATTTTCCGATTTAGTTGTTCGGTAGGCGATAGCTTGTCGATGCCTGTGGTTGAGCTGTTCCGCCGTCCCCCGGAGTCGCTTCGTTTCCCGCTATGAGACGAATTGTATGTTCATTGCGACGATTGTTGTTGTAATTCCCGCCGCGGTTTCCGTTGTTATTACGATTATTATTATTATTGTTATTATTATTACGATTTCCGCGATCGTTATTGTTTCGGAAGTTGTTGTTGTTTCCGTTATTGTAGCTGTTATTGTTGCCATTGTTACGATTTCCACGATCGTTGTTGTTGTTGTTTCTGTTGTTGTAATTTCGATGGTTGTTGTTTTTGTTGTGATTGTCGAATTTGCTGTTTTTATTTCGGTTATTATACGAAGTACTTGTTCTATCTTGTTTAAGATTATTTATTTCTACAATCATTTTTGAAATTACTTCTTTCGGAGATTCGAATTTAGTTGCTGCGATTACCGCCTTAACTGTGTCGTTACGCGCGTTTTTACGGCATAATTCAACGGTTTTTTCAATTGAAAGTTCTTTGGCTTTGGCCTTTGAAAAACCTTCAAGTTGTAAGCTGCGTCTGTAATCTTCAGCTAATTCTTCTGCTCTTTCGGAGAATTTTGATAAATTTGTTTTATCGGTGCGAAGAGCTAACATGCGCCCTTCGATTACTTTCGATGAGTCTGCTTTTATGTTTGCTTTCAAATCGTTTATGATTTCGTCAACGTTTTCTGGGTTATCGTCAACTACTTCACGAGCAGTGCCCTCTAACCTAGATTTTACGAGTTTTGTGAAGACGTCTTTGTCTGCGTCTTCGACCATTTCTTTCAACAGTTCTACTGAATCGATGAAAGAATTCAATTGTAATGGATCACCATCATATTTGTTTAGCATAGAGGCTGCTAATCGCAAAAATTCTTTTCTTGATGCAGACATTCTGTTTTCTGTGTTTCGCGTATTTTCTTGATTATGGTTATTATTATTCGCGTTATTTTCTTGATTATTGTCGTTATTATTCGCGTTATTTTCTTGATTATCGTTGTTATTTACTTGTTGTAATATTTGATCAACCAAATGATTAATTGTGTTTGAATTTAATGTAACATCGCTTTGATTATTTGTTGTATCATTTGCGTTAACCCTCACCTGACTATGTGGGTTATTTACCACTTGATCGGAATTTTGTTCTTGTATATCTTTATTGGGGATAATGATTTGTTGTTGTCTGTTATTGTCGTCAATATTGTCTGTCTGTGAAACTACACCTCCAACAGCGCCATCTACCTCTGTCGGTTCTAATGTCTGTGAAAGTTCACTTGCTCTAACAAAAATACCTGTATTTATTGATTCATTAAAAACAGTATCAATGTTATCAATTGCGTGTATATCTATTTTATCAAAATCCCTTGGTAAGTCAAGAGATAAGTTTATAGCTTTTAACGCTCGTAATATGCGTAGCTTCAAATTGCGAATTGATTCTGCCGCTTTATTCTGATCTCTTGTAGGAAGATTTTTATAATATGTTCCAATATATGTAATATAATTATTATAGGCATCTGTCAATTCGATTTTATATTCATTTATTCTTTGTTTTCTTTCAATCGGATCCGCCGGCAGTGGGCGATTTTCTTTATTTTCGTAGTTGATTAATTTTTTGTTGATGTCTTCTAACTCTTTTTTAAATTTATTATATTTCTCGACTTCAAATTTACTCATTATTAAGAAATTGTTATTTAGACAAAAAACAATATTTGTTGATTCATCAATTCGATCATTTTTGATGTGTTTCTTATTTGAGATAAATCTCGTTCTGTTAATTGTTTAATGCTCTAATTTATCTATTTATATAATGATTATTATTATTCTTGTTTTTTTAAAAAAAAAATAAAAAAAAAAAAAAAGGTTAGATTCACAATTTTCTCTTAAAAACGGAGAGATAACTCAAATTAATTCATGCTTCAAACAATATAAAAAAAAATTTATAAGATATGTTATTATATGTATTATGGTACTTACAGTGGTGGTGT